AGCTCCGTCTGTTTCAGAGTCATGGTCAGATTTGTTATCATTCCTGCAGAGTACAGGGGAAGTCATCAAATAAGTTCATAGTAAGACTCTGTGAATGTTTAGCTCATATAGTGTTGGATTTGATGCATTTAGACTAAAAGACCACTCTGTTATCGAGCCTAAGTATCGATGCGTCTTATGGAAACAGCATCAGTATTGCAACACATTGCAGAGTATTGAGATCCTGCACAAGGTGTGTCCTGCAGTGTTTTTTTGTTTTTTTTACAGAGTGGGTGTGGCTAACATCTTCACTGCACCAAGGCAAACTTCCTCTGGTTAAACTGTATGTCTGTGTGATAGGTCAGTCAACAGAGTAGCAGACACAAAGCACTCCACCTCACACATTGCTGGTGTACATGAATCCCACTTTTATTTTCCACAGAAAAAAAAAAGGTTTGAGATTTTTTTTCTGGTTTATTTCGGTTACATTTAAACCAATAAGAAAAACTGTAGCACCAGAGCAGATTTCTTTTGCCCATTCTTTGATAAAAATGTCAATTTGTGCTATTTTCCAGTTTTTAACAGCTTTGATTAGGGAGAAACATTTACTTCTTGTATATAAAAAAAGACTAGCACTTCATTTCTTTTTCCAGTCATTTGCAAAAGAAAACAGAGAAAACTGTACATCTTATTATTTTTTTCTTAATTTAAATCACAACAAATACATTTAAAGCAAATAAAAAAATTGGGCGGCATTTAGCATAATCCAAGCAGGGAATCAGCTCTCATGATGATTATTATATATTTATATATTTATATGTATACATATATATCATGTTTATATACAAGTATGGCACTTGATTACACAAAAGCAAGAAAAAAACACTTCACAAATAAAAGCGGTGGGCGCTTTGGTGTGTCATAAATTAAGGAAGTCACAGACGTTAGCATTTGCAGCAAATTCACCAAATACTGTTTTGCAAGTCAGCTATAAAGCAATGAAATGGTTACATATGTTAAGGTCAGTGGTGCAACACAGGCAACAAAAAACATGAATTACGCTGATGTATTTCAACTAGGTCGAGCCATAGTCAGTAAGGATTTATATATCTAAGCATATAAATCTGGATAATAGATTTGTCCTTTAACCACTGTGTATGTTGCCAATTAATTAGGTTGATGCCAAAAACGGGTGGAAAGAAAATGTCTTTAAAACACCGTCAGGTCAGTAGCACATTTTGGATAAGGTCAGGCCCTCAACTGTTCACCTCTTAGTGCAATTTTTGCATTAACTCTTTTCAAGTACAGCAGAACAAGCCCACAAAGAGTAAATATGTGAACACGTTAACATGGTCTCCTTTTAGCATCTTACGGAGTATAAACGTTACTAAAAAGTTGCATCAGTGCAATAATAAATAAGGTAACAAACGTGTAACCCACGTTTGCCATGAACTCTTCAAAAGACCAACAAATCAAAAAAATCTGCCCACTCTTAAAGTCATGACACGAATTAGGCGTGCGGAGCTGTCCATCATGTCCATCATTTTTATTTTACAAGTTTTCACTCTCTTCTTTCCATGAGTTACACATAAGCGGAGTCACTGGACTGAGTGCGGCCGAAATTAGGCACACTCATCCTCGGCATGTCCTTATTTCGGATTTCGTAAATGGACTTCCTCCGAGCCTGCACACCTCGCACGGCCGTTTTGATTTTCCTCCATCCTAAATGATTGAGTTCTGCCAGGTTCAATATCACACAGAACCCACTGACCGCGAACATGAACACCAGGAACACAGTCTTCTCCGTGGGTCTGGAGACGTAGCACTCGACATCTTTTATGCAGGGGTAGCGATCACATTCGTACACCGATGGGACGTTGAATCCATACAAGAAATACTGACCCACCAAAAAGCCTATCTCCAGCGCGTTTCTGAACACCACCTGGATGATGTAAAACCTGGAGATGCCCTCTTGTCGCCTCATTTTGGACTTTGTAGTTCTCATTGCCGAATTAGGCATCTCTTTGACTTCTAAACAGTCCGGCTCGGTTTCTTTGGTGGAGTTCTCTGTGTTCTGAAGTACTCCATTAACAATGGTGTTCTTTATCTTTTTGCTCTCATCGCGCTTCAGTGAATCTTGATCCTTATCTAGCGTCAGATAGACTGTTGAGTAGCCCCGCTCCTTCTGTTTGGCCGATTGATGCACCGAGTATGTGATAAAACAAAGACTCGGGGTGCACACCATGATGATTTGAAAAACCCAATATCTAATGTGTGAAATGGGAAATGCCTTGTCGTAGCATGCCTGGTTGCAGCCCGGTTGTAAGGTGTTACAAACAAACATGGTCTGCTCATCATCATAGACAGTCTCTCCAACTATTGCTACGATTAGAATCCGGAAGATGACCACCACTGTTAGTAGGATCCTAAAAAGCAAGCAAACAAACAAACAATGTGAAAAATAAGTGTAAGTATATGCGTGTGTTTAGTGATACAAATGTGGTTCATTTGGCTGAAGCGCTCACAGTCCAATTCGGGTGTTTTGAATTTAGGGAGCTGTCCAGTGCTAAAACCGGACGCTCTTCAGGATCTATGTGTGTGCTTTTTACTGTGTTCTTGTCATTTTTGCGTGTGTTGGTGTGTCTGTGTGTGTGAGGTGCGCGTTTTTCTGATTTAATGGCTGAAATGAAATGACATGAAAGCAATCGGCGTTGCTTTGACTGTACCTGTATGAGCTTTGTTAATGGAAAGAGGAGACATCGCTGACTCTTTTCAATCTCTTTCTGCCACCCATGATACCACAAACACCTCTCAAACACACCAACAAACATGAAATGGATAATTGGATGAATGAATACATGAAATGACACATGAATTTGAGTTTAGGCTGTTTGCAACAACCATCCCAGGTTCTGAAACGACAGCTGTCAACTGGTTTGCTCAGCTGTCTCGTTTAGAAGCAGGAAAAATTGGAGATCTGTGAGACACGACAGAAAAAATCCACAACACAGACACGAAGGACTGGGCACTACAGAAGATCCTCGAGGCACAAGACAGAAAGGAGGGAATGGGAACCATGCTAAAGCGGATCCTGGAGGCTGCTGCAATTCTTCGTCCTGGTTTTTCGTTGATCTTACCTTCCTATCATAGTCGAGTGCTGCTGGACAGCAGCCTCCAGGAGCCTCTCTAGTATAGTCCATTCCCCCATTTCTGAGCATCCGGAGAAGACTAGAGCACAGCGGCACTCTGTTCAAATCCCTCCAAAAAAGCGCGTTATTTCCCTTCCTGTCTCTCTGACTCTCTTTGTTTTCAGTCTCCAAAGCGTCCGATTTTAGCAAAAAAAATGCATCCGTATGAGGATGCTGCTGCCGTCCTCTCTTCCCTCCGTCTCTCTGCGCGCTATCTGGTTGGTTATGTGCTGAGCGCGCAGCTCCAGTGAGCGTCCTGCTGTGTGGACCGAGCGCTCCCACGACGTTGCCACACTTTTCCTTGTCATGGAAGTCTGAAGGGCTGATTACTATAAGCCCTCCTATTTTCGATCTTCAGACCAGGTTGATGGGCTGCGCGCGGCGTCTGTATGGAGCGAGGTTGGATTTAATGTCTTGCCAGCATTAATCCGCCTTTAAGTAGTCTCCCCCCTCCCATGCGTCACGTACGCGCAGACAGGTCGGAGGAGCGCAGCCAGGAGCACCAGGGCTTCTAATATCCAATACTTCAGTTTTGTGTATAGTTTGCGCAATTCGGTGGACACTTCGATGGACGATCGTGTCCTGAGTGGTACACCCTGTATGCCTTAAGTTAATACATTTAGCTTGGGTAGCTCCACCTGAGAATCAAACCCTTAACACTGCCTGTTTTGTTACGGATTGGGTTACAGAACAAGCTGATAACAATATAAATTGTTCTTAAACATATGCACCTTATTGCGGGCACAACGCTTAGGGTGACATGTGTGTGTGTTTTTTAAAACGAGTTCATATTGTGAGTGTAATCATTATAACAACATATTTGTTTCAACAACATATCCAACACCTTTGGGCTGCTTAGTATGGCTTTGTAAATGAACCCAATCGCGCTGTCTTGAGCGGACAGCCTCGGGTGCCCAGAGGCTTCCCTCCTCGTGTCACAGGCTGCTGGCCCTGCTGGTGGAGCTGTTGTTTTCACATCGGGCAAAGATGGTGCTCTGGATACAGTGACAGTGAAAGTACCATCAGAGTTGCTAATCGCTTTACAAGGCAGCCTGCCTTTCTCTCTCTCTCTCTCTCTCTCTCTCTCTCTCTCTCTCTCTCTCTCTCTCTCTTTCTCTCTGTGTGTGTGCAGGTTTAAAAATAGAAGCAAAATATGTGACCCCGCCCTGTATACAGCGCTGAGATTTGATCAATTTAGAACGTAGCATTGTGTGTGCACTAATATTAGATCTCGTGTGGTTTTACACTGTTCATGTCAGATATCAATGCGATTGCCTCTTTTAACACCTATGGCTTCATAAATTCATTATGGATTAACACTGCATGTTGCCAAGACACGTTTTAAGTGTATACATTATCTTATCATTATTATTATTATTATTATTATAATATACACTAAGTGTATATGACCATATAACCAAGTGATGCATTGTTATCAGCAGTATTTGGAATTGGTTTGGTACCTGAGTACCTTATTATTAGCATCATTTTAGTGTATCTACTGGGTTAGACAATGTGAGTTTTTGCCTAACCTGGCAAACAGGGGATTTACTGATCATGTGACCCTGGGGTTTTCACTCCATGGAACTTTGTGTATTTCATTTCTCATGAGGTGGCTTATCCTCTCCGCTCACTGTAATCTTTTCTAATTCAAATCTTTAATAACCTTTACTCATCCATCACGTGGCAGAAGGACAGAGCCTCGCTGCTTTCGAGAGACAGTGAGAGAGATTTTCATAGATCCTAAACCAAATCCTGAACACACCCACTTATGGTTCAGATAATACATAAAACACAACTTCAGGTTCTTATTTATTTATAAAGCTGTACATATCCATATATACACGTGTAAACAAAGAATTTGACGACAATACACGCATTTCTTCAACTTGGGGAGGAAGGGGGCAGTCCGGCACTTAGAAGCACTTCCTGTGGACGATGGAGGGTCCTGCTTCATCATACTCCTGTTTGCTGATCCACATCTGCTGGAAGGTGGAGAGAGAGGCGAGGATGGAGCCTCCGATCCACACGGAGTACTTCCTCTTAGGGGGGGGCGATGATCTAAACACAAACACGTGTTAATCTGCTTATGGAGAGGTGTGTGATTCACAACATTTAAAGTTACCTTAATCTTCATGGTGCTGGGGGCCAGAGCAGTGATCTCCTTCTGCATGCGGTCAGCGATACCAGGGTACATGGTGGTGCCTCCGGACATTACGTTGTTGGCGTACAGGTCCTTCCGGATGTCGATGTCACATGCTGATGGCGTAACTTCGTAATACAGCTCTGGAAGTTACGGACGTTACACTGCCACCGATAGGTCCGGCGACGACAGAGACATATGCGCGTATGACTGCATGGTGTTCCATCCTGTCTAAGAGTCCCACGTGTACAAAACTTAAGTCACTCAGTACGTAATTTCTAGGTAGTAGTCCCATAAAACAGACCAAGAGCCGACTGCCTTACACTGGGTATTGCGACGCGCTAGATACTCCCAATGCGAGAAGGAGTGGCCGGTATAGTACGCGACCTAACACTCGCCCCAGCACTGGAGTGTCTATGGTAGTACTTCTAGGACCTAACTCGCGACCTATAGAGAGAAACAGTGTTGGCCACTCGTGTCTATGAATAAGTGAATATAGGTTGACATAAAAGTTTAGATCTAATGAGATTTTCGCCGACTATGGGTTTGTCCGTGTTTTCCTTATGGAGTCAAACTCACAGTACAGAGGTAGTTTCTACAAATTTTTGTTTCGTCTCTGTTCAGAAGACAAGACTTCTTTCTTATAAACAACGCTACATGTAAAGTTTAGTTGTTCCTCTCTGTACAATCAATCATGGTAAACTACTACGTGAAAAACTGCACTGTTACGGTTGGACTTAGCGGAGCGTCGACTCGCACCTTAACACGCGCCTGTAGTCACTTTTTCAACACGATGCTTACTAGACCTGAAACTCTTACCTCGTACCGATGGCGGGCGAGGAGGAGGAGGAGGGACCTCTTACGATGCTCATATCGGACTGCCAGTCCAGTAGTTGGGTAGCCAGTTGCTCACAAAGGCGCGACGGGGCTCTGGAGAGAAGTCGGAGTAAGTAACCACGCACTTCTGTTTACGTCTTTGCCTCCTAAAGGAATGTTCCAACTTGTCGTGACAGATTCCTTAACATCAAAAGTTTCACTATACTGAATGCAGAAATGATATCCGCATATAGTAATAATACTGACAAAGTTAAAATTACCGTGCTTATTGTAAATTCGTTCATTTAGAATAGGTACACTAGAATAGTGAATGTTTGAGTTTAAGTTCTATTATACTTTTACGGAAATTTTTGTTCGACTTCATTTGACCGAGACTTTTCGAACTTCATTCAAAGTCAAATGTGATCATTCTTTATTTGTGACGCCTACTAAAGTACCAGAAAGGATTTCTCTTTACGAATAACGAGTCATTTTATATTCACCACACCCGACGGATGAAAATTAGAGGTTGACCACCAAGTGGTCAAATAGGTGCGACCCCGAAGAGGTGAAGTACGAGGCTATTTATCTGTACTCATCACATTTCGTCCCCGATAACAAAGTGTAAACGTGGTGTCACGTGCGTCGACACATCGCTCTACAGGCAATGTCGTGGCCAAGTCTGTCGCTTCCGCCCACAGTCTACACAAGAAAACATCGTCCCCCCCTTGCGGTTATTGAAACTTACACACACAACGTGTCCGTACCTTTAGACGACGTAAGTGCTTTGCGTG